GGGTCCAGCCCGCCCGGTTCCCGCTGGGCCGAGGGCAGCCCCGAGGGGAGGGGTCCTGCTGGGAGCTCCGGCTGCCGTCACTTGGTCACTCCTGTCGGTGAGGGTCGGTTTGTGAGACCGGGAGACACCGTGTTGCAGGTGGCTGAAGGGCTGGGCACCCCCAGGGACTGGGCACCTCCAGGGGCTGGGCACCTCCAGGGGACTGGGCACCCCCAGGGACTGGGCACCCCCAGAGGCTGGGCACCCCCGGTCTGCTCAAGGGTTGGAGGCAAGTGGGGTTGCTCGAACCCCTTGCCCAGCTTGTGCCCCCACCGAGCTGGTGAGTCCCAGTGACTGGTCAGCTTTTCCTCCGTGGCCCTGAGGGTGAAAACAAAAGGTCGGTCGGGTTAGGAATTGCTGAATGGCAGAGGAAGATCAGCTCTCGCAGCCTCCCTTCCCTGGAGCTGGGTTTGGAAAAGGTCTCCTGGGATTACTGGAGGAGCAGAGTGGTTGTGCAGCGTCTCCCGCAGCATCCAGGGACAGCCGGTTGCTCGGAGGGCAGAGGGATTAAGGAGGTGGAGTTTCCTTCTGCAGGCGAATCCAGCCGGCTCCGCAGGTCGCTGCTGCCGAGGAGTGCAGAGGGTGCAGAAGGAATGCTTCCAAAACACACGTCCAGGGACTCCAGCACCGTGTGTGAGAGCAGCCCTGACGGAGGAGACCTCTGGGACTCTGCTTAGCCAAAGCAGAGAAGCAGGATATTGAGCACAGTGAGCAGGTAGGGACACCTGGGCTGGTCCTCGGGTCTCCTGCAGGAGTGAGGTGAGGGTGCCAGCACAGCCCCTGAGCTCTGCTGGGTTCTGGTTTAGTCCTTCCTGCAGGGACACCTGAATGATCTCCCACCTCTTTCTGAGCCAGGTGAGGCTGTCAGCTCCACTGTGCTCTTCTGACAACAGGTAGAGGAAAGCAGCTCTCCCGAGTCCACGAGTGGTTCTGTGGCAAGCAAAGCAAGGAGCTGGAACTGGATCTCCATCACTCAACCCCAGGTAGGAGCCTCCTGCTCAGGCTGTGTTTGTCTTGCCTAAACGTCCTCCTGCAAGCAGAGGGATAACAGCAGCTCCCTTGTTTGTACCCAGCTGTTGAGAAGCTGCTGTGGGCCTGGGGCCAGATTTTGTTCCCATCTGCTATTGTGCAGACTCTCCAGGGAACTGAACTTTAAACAGAAGTGGAAAACATTCTAAAAAAAAGTATAAATATACATCCTTATTTATTCACCTATTTATTTAATGCTGTTTTACAATAGCAGGGGTTTAACAGCGTTAACTAATTGGTTTGCCAAAGGAAAAACGTAACTGAAATAAAAACCATGAGGGTGATTTGTAAGGATGTCTCTCCTGAGTGAGCTCCTTTACAGGGTCAGGCCCTGGGGGGCTGGCACCATCCACTGTCCCCTCCATGGCCAGCAGGCCCAGTGGTGCCAGCCCTTCTGGCAGTTTAAGAAGCAACTGAGTGCATGTGTGTTTAAAGCTTAATGGGGTGAAGTCAGCCCAGCATCCCAACCTTTCCCTGCATAAAACCGAGCCTGAAGCTGTGCTGTCTGCCAGAGCCAGGCAGGAAAGTTGCTGTGGGGACCAGCATCCACCTGTGCCCCGTTTCTCTCAGAAGCTAGTCTGTCCTCTGTATTTTGGGGTAAAAATAAAGGAAAGTGCAGCTGACACACGAGTTTCTCTTCCCCTCGCTGAGCGTGTGCTTTCAGGGGCCGTCCTGTGGGGTGAAATCAAAGGGCTCGGTGACTTTCCTTCCTGTTCTTTCCCACTTGGGGAGAGGCTGTGGCTCTGCAGGGCTCAGCCTGCCCCACGTTTGGGTGGCCCAGTCCCGTGTTGTGTCTGCTGGGGCAGGACAGGCAGCTGGGAGGGTCAGTGCTGGGACCCGCGGGGACTGCCAGGGGGGACAAAGTGGGGGCACTGAATTTCTGCCTTCCCGGGAAGGGCAGCACAACGTCCTGGCTGGGGAGCCGGGGCAGGAAAGCCGCTCTGGCTCAGCAGTTATTTTTGGCATCTCCTGCTTCGCTCCTCCCTCCGAGGCTCAGCCCGCAGGGGGGAAGGCAAGAGGAAGAGAGGCCCTGCTCCCGGAGGTACCGCTGCTCCTTGCCGGGCTGCCCGGAGGGGCTGTGGCCGTGGGAAATCCCACCGTGCTGGGCTCAGGGGCCGTCCTGTGGGGTGAAATCAAAGGGCTCGGTGACTTTCCTTCCTGTTCTTTCCCACTTGGGGAGAGGCTGTGGCTCTGCAGGGCTCAGCCTGCCCCACGTTTGGGTGGCCCAGTCCCGTGTTGTGTCTGCTGGGGCAGGACAGGCAGCTGGAAGGGTCAGTGCTGGGACCCGCGGGGACTGCCAGGGGGGACAAAGTGGGGGCACTGAATTTCTGCCTTCCCGGGAAGGGCAGCACAACGTCCTGGCTCGGGAGCCGGGGCAGGGAAGCCGCTCTGGCTCAGCAGTTATTTTTGGCATCTCCTGCTTCGCTCCTCCCTCCGAGGCTCAGCCCGCAGGGGGGAAGGCAAGAGGAAGAGAGGCCCTGCTCCCGGAGGTACCGCTGCTCCTTGCCGGGCTGCCCGGAGGGGCTGTGGCCGTGGGAAATCCCACCGTGCTGGGCTGGCAGGGCTCTGGGTGTCTCTGCAGCGCAGCCCGTTCCTGCCGGGGCTGCGGCCGCTCCGGACCTGCCCCCGCCCGGCAGAGCTGCCAAAGCTCAGCGCAGCAACTCCTCATCGGCTGGGTAAGGAAGCCTGGAGATCCTCTGAGGGCTGACAAGACCCGGTCCAAACCGGGCTGTCCTCCCCGCAGGAGGCACCCGAGGTGGCCCCAGGCCAACCCGCAGCTCCTCGCTCCTCAGCGGCTCAAAGCTGTGCAGTTAGTGACACTGGTCACCTTGCCTTTCTGCCTGCTTTCTGCCTCCCAGGCCACGTTTTGAAGCTTTTAAGCAATCACCACAGCTAGAATTACACCCTTGCTTTCTAAGAGGTTCAAGGTTCCTTTTCTCATGTCTCCCAGGCTTTAAGGAATGAGATCTTAACGTCTTATCAAATATGTTTTGGAGATGGTATTAAAAGGAGCTGAAAGAAGAGCAGGGCCTGGGCTGTCAAGGTGGTTGTCAGAGACAATGACAAAAGACAGCACGTTCCCAGAGAGGAAGCAGGGCTGTCCCACTTGGGCCTTCCAGCTCACTGGTGGGTGGAAAGGGGGTTGTCACGGATCCGATGCTAGATAAGATAGCAGAGCTGCTGTGCTGCTGCCACCCAGCATCATGAGTCACACTTCAGAGCAGGGTATTCTAGAAAAATGTGCAGTTGTGTTCAGTTCTGCGTGATGCTTTTTGCATCCCCACTCTGTACTCTCTTCATGGTTTTCAACTCTTCCCCTCCTTGGAGGATGTTGAGAAGCCCAGGTTCTCATACAAGGTGATGCTGGGACTCCAAGAGGGTAGGATGCCATGCTGACCTGGGAAAGGGAGTGTTTGCATTTCAATACCCCTCCCTTGTTTATAAGGGTTGAAAAAAATGTCACATTTGTGGTTTTATTCGTGCATTAATCTAGAAGGTGGAGATAAAACATTTTGGGAAGGCGATGAATGAAACAGATAATGACCTGAATCTGTGAGCTGAACTTCAGCCTTCTTTGGCATTGTAGTTCACATCAAAGGTTGATCAAAATATGCTTTTCCACTTCTAAATCACACATGTACAAATGCAATTTCTAAGAACTGGAGTCACAGTAATAGACCCTTTTTTTTTCATTTTGCAAATAGTCACATCTCATCACAGGCAAGAACCACTGTAATTAACTACTAGATCCTACTTGTAGGCCTTCTGTTTCACTATCAGTAAAAAATGGATATGTGGGGTTGTTTTCTGTGCAGAGCTTCTGCTTGCAAAGAGGTTTTTTTTCCCCCACACACAGTTTGAGAAATCTGTCTCAGCTTTTTTAATACTAGTGCAGCAGTACTAGAAAATTCCCTTGCACTTTTATTACTCAGAGTAGCAAAACCTCACTGCAGGAAAAAAAAAAGACCTTCCCCCCCCCTTCTCCAGAGCTTTGATCTGATGTCTTTAACTCTTGAAAAGAATCACCCTTCTTCTTAGGATTGATTGAAAAAAACTGTGTAAAACAATTGGCCAACAGATTTTCCTCATTTTTTGTGTTCAATTTCAAAATTCAGTGACATTTCAAGTGAGAAAAAATTGTTACCTCCTCTGTGATCCAGTTCCATTGGTTTGGTTTGTTCAAGAAATCTCTCTGTCTGTCCCTTTTTCTTTTTCCCAACAGGGTCTTTTGAGAATTAATTGCACTTTTGGAAGTTTCTCCCATTTTTAGACCTGACTGGATCAGCAAAATGCCCCTTCCAGTTCCAGATCTGTGGAATTACCTCCCAGAAGAAATCCTCATCCAAATTTTCTATTACCTGTCTCTTCGAGATCGATACACAGTGTTCCAGGTGTGCAGGCAGTGGGCTGCAGCTGTTTCTTCCAGCTCTGTTTGGCACTTCACTGAGATCAGGTGAGAGGGACCACGTTTCTGGTGTCCAAGCATCTTTGCAGGCATCACCAGGTGGTTGTTTGCAGTGTGTCAAACGTTGACACCACTCTGCTCTGACATGATTGACATTATTTGTGACTTTTCTGTGTGTGAGACTATCTTGCACCACTGGCACCTGTTTATGTCATAGAGAAGATCATGTTGCATGCTGGGGTTTTCCAGTTGGTGCTGGTGGTTTGGGTTTGATGGGAAATAACACGTTTTTTGGTACCATGTTCTAAGTTGCCATTTGAAAATGGCAGGAGGCAAAGTTACTGAATAGTTACCTTTGTCGTGATACTTATTTCTCTGATGGGTCTTTCTGGGGACTGACTCATCTCTCCTCCTGACCCTTTCAGTGTTTGGCCTGACAGTGACTTTCCAGGCATCAAGTGAGAAGAAATGTCTGGGGAAGGTGTTAATGGTTGCAGAAGCACTAGTAAAGGAGAGAATACGTGCTCTGTGGTTGCTCGGCTCAGTGTTCACAGTGGCTAAGAGTTTGTTTTACCCTTCCAGCTGTGATTCAGAGGATGAGGAAGGTATGCTGCAGAGCCTGCTCCAGTTCCTCAGCCAAATCAAACACCTGAAGATTGTGTTTGACCAGTCCAAGGAGGTCAACCGGAAGAATGTGACACACATCTTGGATGCCTTGGCAGAACAGAACCACCAACTGCAGCAGCTGTGCATTGCGTGCCAGGGGGAGAACCCCTATTTCTACTCTGGCCAGGACATCCTCCAGAGCATACGGAATTTATGTGCCACTGAACACCAGAGAGATCTTCAGCATATTGATTTTCGAGACATGCCCTTCACTCTGGATGGGGAGCTGGTTGAGCTCCTGGCTACCACCAGCCCCAACCTGCACAGTCTGTTCATCAACAACCGCACCCTGGTGTGCAACGTGGCCCCAGACACCCTTAGGAAGGTTCTCAGAGCATGTCCCAAGCTCTCAGCCTTGGGGGTTTACTATGCCAGTTTGTCTGATGATGTATTTCAGGAGCTGCTCAAGCCTGACAGAGCAGCTTTCACCCATTTAGACATTTTCTGTGAGCGCCTGGACAAGTACATACCAGTCATCTCAGAAGAGCTTTGGGCTGCTGTAAGTCACAAGCATCCTCAACTCCGTGTAGACCTAGAGTTTGATCATACAGTCCCTGCCAGCAAAATACCAGGAATCCTGAAGTTGAATATACCTGTGAGGACACTGCAACTCAATACCTACAACTACATGGTCCATCAGATTAGGTTTGTCACCCAGAGCTACAGCAGTACTTTAAAGAAGCTGACTCTGCAAACCACATCCTCAGAGGACCTCAATTCCTCACTAGTAGACCTGGCCAGGCACTGCAGGAATCTGCTGGAGATCCACTGCTACTGTGTGGTCAGCCAGGAGGTGGTGGAAGCGTTCCTCACACACTGCCCCAGCCTGAAACGGTACACTCTGAAGCTCACCAAGGAAAGGCACCCCTGGAAACCAGTCACAGTGCAGTGACCAGCTCTTGCTGACCTCCTGGGACAAGCCTGGGGATCTGGACAGGGGAAGATTTAGGGCTCTGAGGAAAAGGCTGCAAAATGCCCTCTGCTCTCCCAGAGAACAAGCTGTTCCACCAGTCCTGGCTGGTGGTATGATGCACACCTCTTCTGCACACCAAGCAGTTACACTCATGTGATACAGAAAAGGTTATACAGAGAAACAGAAATGCCCTTTTTTCCCCTCTTTTTTTCTTTCTTTCGTGGGTTATGGAGAGCAGGTCTTTTCTCCTCTCCTTTATTTAGCAGTAGCAGGGATGACAAGCTTGCCCTTTGTGGGTTTTTGCTGAAGACCTCAGCAAAATTTGATTTTGATTTTGTATTTTAAAAGCACGTTGTGTGAGGTGCCCAGCAACTTGGGAGTTCAGGAAGTGACAGCTTCAATGAAGCCATTTTTTGCCCAGGGGGTACTTAGCTGTGCAGATTCAGTGAGCTATAGCAAGGAACTGTGGACACCTGATGGAATATCCCCTGGACACCTGATGGAATATCCCCTGGACACCTGATGGAATATCCCCTCTAACCTTGGTAATTTCTATTTTGACATTGCAGTGAACTCACTCCATAGGCAGTTGTCAGGTAGTTTCCAGCTTGGATAGTTGTAACAGGAGCTGAATTCTGATAGGAAATACAAGCAGGAGAAGAAGCACTTAAGGAAAACTTCAACAAGGTAATAATAAAAGGCACATGGCCTGCAGATTCCCTTGTCCATCTTGTCTTTCTGTTGCTCAGGAATGCAGATTTCCAGGTTATAATTCAAGTACCTTTTGCAAAGACATTTGCTGTTGTTATGATGTTTGTGTTTCTTAGGAGAGTATTAACAGCTTGTGCATTTTCCCACCCAAGTTGTCTTGCAGCTGAGTTAGGAGATGTGTGTGTTGGGCTGTTGTACCAAAGATTTTGGTGGATGTTGCTTGAAGAGCAGCTTCTGAGTTGAAATGATCCTGGCATAAAGCTACACTGAGAGTGCCTGTTTAGAGCTATCTGAATAATTTATATTTAACAATAAAAGTATATTGTCACCCAGATTCTATGTGTAGCTGTTTTCACAGAATCACAGAATGCTAGGGTTTGGAAAGGACCTTGAAAGATCATCTAGTCCAACCCTCTTTTCATACCTAAGAGCTCAATCGTTTCTCTTGACAAATAACTTGGAATCTGTACTCAAACCAATGGACAGTTTTGACTTTTAAAAACTCTGCCCAAGATCTGCAGTCCTGAGGTCTGGCCATACCTTGTTAGAATCATAGAACTATAGAATGGAGAAGGTAGGAAGGAACCTTAAAGATCATCAGGCTCCAACCTCCCTGCTATGAGCAGGGACACTTCAAATGAGACCAGGCTGCACAAGCCTCATCCAACCTGGCCTTGAATGCCTCCAGGGATGGGGCTTCCACAACCTCCCTGGGCAACCTATTCCAGTGCCTTCCTACCCTCATGGTGAAGAATTTCCTCCTCATGTCTCACCTCAATCTTCCTCTTCCAGTTTTAATCCAACCCCCCTTGTCCTCTCCCTCCCTGCCCTTGTCCCAAGCCCCTCCCCAGCTTTCCTGGAGCCCCTTCAGGCACTGGAAGGTGCTCTAAGGTCTCCCTGGAGCCTTCTCTTCTCCAGGCTGAACACCCCAACTCTCCCAGCCTGTTTTCATCTCTTCATCTTTGGTCTATGCAGGCCAAAATTTAAGGCAAGGAAATTCCAAAGTAACAAACCTGTCCCAGCTGTGCCTGGGTGTCCCACCAGCTGTGGTGACTTGCTAAGCTCCCAGCACAAGGTGTGCAGCACGTGTCCCCTCTGCATGACGCTGCGGATCTATTCACAGCCCCGCGGGATCGGCTGCAGTGCATTTTCATTCTGTGTATTGTTCTCTGGGGCTGGTGATGCCATCGCATTGTGCTGAGTTTTGAAGAGTGTGAGCAGCAGCACTGCTGATGTGACTCCCTGGGATCCTACTTTCCACTGGCCCGGGATAAAATTGAGTGGTTCATTCTCTGCGGGACGCGCGTGCAGGGAGGCAGGCACGCCGAGAGCGATGGGGTTAGTGTAGCTGGGACACTGACAGACTATGCAGGATTCACCCAGCTCCCTGGTGATGGATGGATACTCCAGCAATGTGCCAGCTTTCCTAACCAAACTCTGGACACTGGTGGAAGACCCTGAAACCAACCATCTCATCTGCTGGAGCAGTGTAAGTACAGCAAATAGAGGGTGTCACTGTGAGGCTCAAATGAGAGAGCAGCTGCCCTTTGCTTCCCAAGAGAGTGAAAGGACTGAGAGTTCCTATGAGCACCTTTTAGATATACTTGATATTATTTATTTACAATATTATGGCTTTTCTGTTTTAAAGGGAAAACTGGTTTGAGAGTGTTTTAATAATCTTTACACATTTCCCTGAAGGGGTGTCTAACACTGGATCTTCTAAAAACCCAAACTCTAAAGGACAGAGGGGTTTTTCACCTGCAGTTCCCTAAAGTTTCTAAGGTGCAAAGCCCTTAAATAATTCCCCTGCTGCCTGTGTGATTTCACATGTGTTTCTCATCAGCCTTTCACAAGTGCCTTGGGAGAAGGCAACAGATCAGCAGCACTCAGACCTGAGGCTGAAACCTGTCAACAGATCTCAGACGGGCACCCTAAATCCCTCCCTGTTTTGGAAGAGCTTTTACTTCATGTTTCAACCAGTCAGTGTGATGATGGTGGTGCTGTGTGTGTATTGTCTGTACAGCTTCACAGGGATAGATCCCTTTGCTTTGGCTTCTTAGTTGTCACTGATGCATTCATCTGCTGAGGGCAATCAGAGAATTAACATCCTTTATTTGTCCCCCCAGCACAGCATTTGATACCGTGCTCTGCTTTTAACCTCATTAAGACTTGCTGCAATTCATGTGATTTGCCTTCAGTGGGGAGTTACCACATCAGTTGTTTATATAAATTCCTCCTCCCTGCCCTTGTCCCAAGCCCCTCCCCAGCTTTCCTGGAGCCCCTTCAGGCACTGGAAGCTGCTCTAAGGTCTCCCTGGCGCCTTCTCTTCTCCAGGCTGAACACCCCAACTCTCCCAGCCTGTTTTCATCTCTTCATCTTTGGTCTATGCAGGCCAAAATTTAAGGCAAGGAAATTCCAAAGTAACAAACCTGTCCCAGCTGTGCCTGGGTGTCCCACCAGCTGTGGTGACTTGCTAAGCTCCCAGCACAAGGTGTGCAGCACGTGTCCCCTCTGCATGACGCTGCGGATCTATTCACAGCCCCGCGGGATCGGCTGCAGTGCATTTTCATTCTGTGTATTGTTCTCTGGGGCTGGTGATGCCATCGCATTGTGCTGAGTTTTGAAGAGTGTGAGCAGCAGCACTGCTGATGTGACTCCCTGGGATCCTACTTTCCACTGGCCCGGGATAAAATTGAGTGGTTCATTCTCTGCGGGACGCGCGTGCAGGGAGGCAGGCACGCCGAGAGCGATGGGGTTAGTGTAGCTGGGACACTGACAGACTATGCAGGATTCACCCAGCTCCCTGGTGATGGATGGATACTCCAGCAATGTGCCAGCTTTCCTAACCAAACTCTGGACACTGGTGGAAGACCCTGAAACCAACCATCTCATCTGCTGGAGCAGTGTAAGTACAGCAAATAGAGGGTGTCACTGTGAGGCTCAAATGAGAGAGCAGCTGCCCTTTGCTTCCCAAGAGAGTGAAAGGACTGAGAGTTCCTATGAGCACCTTTTAGATATACTTGATATTATTTATTTACAATATTATGGCTTTTCTGTTTTAAAGGGAAAACTGGTTTGAGAGTGTTTTAATAATCTTTACACATTTCCCTGAAGGGGTGTCTAACACTGGATCTTCTAAAAACCCAAACTCTAAAGGACAGAGGGGTTTTTCACCTGCAGTTCCCTAAAGTTTCTAAGGTGCAAAGCCCTTAAATAATTCCCCTGCTGCCTGTGTGATTTCACATGTGTTTCTCATCAGCCTTTCACAAGTGCCTTGGGAGAAGGCAACAGATCAGCAGCACTCAGACCTGAGGCTGAAACCTGTCAACAGATCTCAGACGGGCACCCTAAATCCCTCCCTGTTTTGGAAGAGCTTTTACTTCATGTTTCAACCAGTCAGTGTGATGATGGTGGTGCTGTGTGTGTATTGTCTGTACAGCTTCACAGGGATAGATCCCTTTGCTTTGGCTTCTTAGTTGTCACTGATGCATTCATCTGCTGAGGGCAATCAGAGAATTAACATCCTTTATTTGTCCCCCCAGCACAGCATTTGATACCGTGCTCTGCTTTTAACCTCATTAAGACTTGCTGCAATTCATGTGATTTGCCTTCAGTGGGGAGTTACCACATCAGTTGTTTATATAAATTCCTTCTCCAAAATCGAGCATCTGTAACAAAAATGGTTTTAAAAGGAAAAAAAAAAAAAAAAAAGAAGTCTCAAGTAGCCTTTCTGTCATGTGTTTGTGTCCAGTAGAGTTTTCATTCAAAACTTGAGGTGGAGTTTGAGCTGCATTGTTATCCAAGGCAATGGTTGCTTTCTGCTCTGAGTATTACACAGCCATGCCTCTCCTAACCTCTGAATTTTGGTATCCTGTGTTTTAAATAAAAACTTTCAAACTAGGAAGGGTTTTCTAACAAGGAGGGATACTCTCCTCTCTGTTACACTTAAGACATTGTTATTTTTGATGCTCTGCTTTCCTGCAACCTAACGTAGGACATAGATACATTCTTGGGAGGTTTTGGTAAGGCTTTTAGATGTCTAAGCTTCCCATGTTGCATCCTCTTCTATCCATTGCTGGTGTTGGAACTGAGAAACTCTGTGATTTCTGGAGGTAATCAGAACTCTTAGAAAGTAGGACCTGTAAGGACCTATGAACTTTTTCTTTACATGAAGCAGAAGAGATGGAGAGGAAATGTGGTTTATATATATATATGGCTTATATATACACTAAGGGCTGTTGTAAGGAGGAAAGGAAAATTCTGTCTGACTTCCAGGTAGATTGGACAAGGAGTAATCAAATTATTTTCTAAAATGGAAGATGCAGTTAGGAAGAACTCTTAGCAAATTCCTGGAGTAGCTTGTCTGGGCAGGGCACAGGGCCTGTCAAAAACAGTTAAGGAGCTGCCAAGCCTAATATGCAGCAGAGTCAGTTTTGCCTTGGGCAGATAAGACTTTCAAAGTGTCTCCCAGCTTGGGCTCCCATGACATAAAACAAGCCAGGCTCAGCTGCTGGGTGGAAGCAAGCTGGCACATGCATGGTTCCCTGCTGAATGCCAGTAACTCCCAAGACTCCTGTGTCTGTAGGAACCCCTTTGGGCACACCAGCATCTGAGAGCATTGCAGCCCTGGATTCAAAGGAATGACCTCTCAAGAGAGGCCATAAGGAGGTTCAGGTTCATGAAATCCTTGTGTTTCTAGTTTTACATCAGCTGTATCCCAGGGCAAGTGAGTAGACAGAAGCACAAGGAGCAGGATTAACCATCTCTGTCCCCAGAACAGCCTTTGCAGTGTTGAGAAACCCTGGTCCCTGCTGCCATGTCTGCAGGCTCAGCCTGGGAGGATAATTCCAGCATACAGGTTATTAGTGAATCTCTAGAGTACTTGAGCAGCCTTTGCTTCTGCTGCATGGGGTGAGGAATGACAGGAAAGGTGATGGTCACAGGGCACTGTCAAGGCAAGCAGTCATGTTCAGTGCTGGCAGCAGTGAACAAGGAGCAAGAAGTACAGCTGACCCGGAGTGGTGTGTTTGTGGGTGGCAGGGTTAATTGCTAGAGCTGGCAATGAGCCAGAGCACAGAGGGAGTTGGCAAGGTTTGGTGATGGCAAAGTAGTGGCCACTGGTCGGGTGGCAGGGTTTGACAGCTGGCTGGTTTCTGGTGGCTGAGGGCAGGGCTGCAGGCACTCACTGGCCCCTTCTTAATCACTGAGCTTTCCTGTGGTCCTGATTGCACTCCCTGTTTTAGGAACTTCCAGGCAGCCCTGAGAGCATTCATGCAGCTACAGACCCTGTGATGGGTGTGTGGTGGGACCCCTGCACAGCTGGGTCACTCTTATGAAACCCTGTCCTCTGACAAGGCCTGGTCTGCTGTGAATTCCCCCCCTGGGCTGATGCACCATTTAACCGCCCCTAACAACGCTCAACACAGCAGGGGGGTGGCTGGGGCTGTGCTGCTCTCAACACCCCTCCCTGCCAACATCATGCAGGGCCTGGGGTCTTTCCTCCTTCCAAACTCAGCTGCAGCTGAGCTGGTAGCTCCTCATCTGAAATCATGATTGATCATCCCTCCACTTTCACTGTGCTGCTCCCCCATCCAGAGCAGAGACAGGATCTCAGGTGGTTCCCATATCCCCATATCCTGGAGACTCTGAGGCTGTTGAGGTTGGGAGATTTAGAAAACACTGTTCCTAAGTGTTGGTTACAGGTGAAAATGAATTGCCAGTTCTTCTGTCCATTAAAAAGGTTGCATGAATTTGCTGTTTGCAGAATGTTTCAGGGCAGCTTCAGTGTGTTGTGCCTCCCAGGCCCCCTTGGTGCCAGCTTAGCTGTCAGCAGGGAAAGCACATGGCCTGCAGTGTGTGTGTGTCTGCCAGCCTTCCCAGGCAGTTTCCCTTGTTTTGCACTCATGGATCTTGGCAGTGCAACCCCAGAAATCAGTGTTTTATCTGGTTAACATGCGTGTTGCTAGCTTGGACTGTGAAGCAGGAATGTTAGCATTTTGCAGGCTGCCCTTGTGGTCATGTACTTCCAAAATAACCTAGAGAAGGTGCAAAGAGTGTCTGGATCGTGTGGTCTCCACATGATTGGCTTTCTTGCCTGACTGTGTTCCTTGTGCTATGTCTCCAGGCAGCACTCCCTCCTGGACTGCTCTGGAGCAGATGGGTTGGAGGTAGATCTATACAAGCAGATAGAGGGGTTATAAAGGCAATTCCCATTTTCCAGGACCTTCTTCAGGCACCAGAGGCTTTTTGTGAGGTCCACACAAAGGGGGGAATGATCACAAGCTACCAGCTATTTGTATGTGAGAGTCTGCAGTTTTCTTTTTCACATCCAAGACTTTAAACTTAAGTGGTGGCAAAGCTTAGTAGAAAGAAAAGATGAAAACTGCAGTCACAGAAGACTGACTGTACCAGAACTGGAAGAAACACTTCTGTCACTGAAGGCTGTCACTCTTCTCAGCTTCAAGGTGACAGAGAGCAGGACTTTCCCTGCTGCAGGACTCAAGAGAATCACCTCCTCCTGAGTCCCTCTTATGGTTGGGAATGCTCCTCTGACTTCAGCTTTGTCCTTACCTCCTTTGCAGAATGGCACCAGCTTCCATGTGTTCGACCAAGGCCGCTTTGCCAAAGAGGTGCTGCCCAAGTATTTCAAACACAACAACATGGCCAGTTTCGTCCGGCAGCTGAACATGTGTAAGTTCAACCTCCAGAGACAAGGCCACGAGGTCCTAGAGGCACAGGGGAGCAGCAGAAAGTGAGGGTGCATGAGCCAGAACTGTGGATAGAAAAGCTGAGATCTCACCTGTGTGTGTGTTACTGTGACATGATTAATTTTGCCCAAGAGGATCTGCCTCTTAGATCCCAGGGAAACGATTTCCTTGCATTAATCTTAGACCCCAGCATGAAATTTCTGTTAGATGACACTGGAAGATGTGAGCCAAGAGATTTCAGCTAGCAGGCTTCCTACTTCTCTTGCATCCTTTTGGTGACCTATTATTATTTCTTTTCCATTTTATTCTATATGGGGCTTTTCTCAGCATCCCAATACTGTCCCCCCTCCCTCAGAAACTGCTTGTAAGGGTAGCATCCCCTGAGCTCACCTGTTCCCCCAGCTGCATTGCTGAACTAGTAACAGACAGTGCTTCTCCCTGCAAACCTTGCTGTGCTGGTCAGACGTTTTCACCCCCTGAAGGAGGTTTAGGTGTGGTTTTCAGCCACATTCAGGCCATGATTGCATTAAATATCATTCTTTTCTGATGTTTTTTGGAAGTTTTTCAATGGCTAACTCACAAAATTCTTTGCTGTCTCACTGTACAGTGGCACTGTTGTAAACTTTAGGTTGGTTTTTAGAGACAGTTTAGAAGCCTCTCTGGGTTTCAGTACTCAAAGAAGCACTCAGAGAAGTACTCCAAGTAGATTTCCAAATGTGTCTGTGACCCCTTTTTTCTAACATAGCACCTGATGCTGGTCTGTATCTTTGAACAACCTCCCCCCGAATCCCTTCAGCCGGCAACAGATTTCCTAAGAGCAGGCAGAGGGATTGCTGGGGAGGCTGGTGGGATACACAGGGCTCTCCCTCCTTGGATTTCCTTTGGATACAGCCCCAAAGTGTGCTGATGGGGCTGGGGGCCTGGGTCTGCCCACCCTTCACCCACCCCTCTCCCCACAGATGGCTTCAGGAAGGTGGTGAACATCGAGCAGGGAGGGCTGGTCAAGCCCGAGCGGGATGACACGGAATTCCAGCACCTCTGCTTCCTGCAGGGCCACGAGCACCTCCTGGAGCACATCAAGAGGAAGGTGAGGGGGGCTTGGGGGGGACACAAGGGTGAGACCCTCGGGCGGGAAGAAGGAAGGATGAGGCGCAGGAAGGTTCCGCGCCACCGGTGTGGAGAGGCTGCGTGGTGTTCTTTTCAAACCATCCTCCAGCCTTGTGCCCCACCATTTAACTGCTGGTGGTCTGTGTGGAGATGTAGCTCCTCTGGTTGGCTTGAAATCTGTCACTTCTTGGTTTGCTTCCCCCCGGGCCCTTCTGCCAGGAGAGAAGCAGCGAGCGCTGGTTTCTCACCCCTCAGGCGTCCTGAGGGGGAAACACCTCATTTCTCTGCTGCTTCCACTCTGCCCTGGGCCTTTCTAACCCTCCTACACCTCTTTTTTTGGGGCAGATTGACCAGCACAGCACCCCATGGTCGTTGTGAAGGTTTCTACCACAGCTACTACGTTCCTCTCTTTGATACCTCCTACAATAGTTGTTTCCTTTCAGCCCACAGGGCCCTTGTGCTTTGGACTGCTCAGCATAACCCCAACCCTGTGGGCTGGTTTCTGTCCTCTCCTTGTACAGCTGGGACAGGGGTCCTGGGTGTGCAGGGCTTGGCTTTTAGCAGAGTTTTGTCTGTATAATTTTTTGCTCTGTCACTCAGTATCATGAGACCTTCATGTAGTGCTGCACGGGCAGGCTTGAGTCTCACTGCCCTGCTTTTGAATTGTTACCTTCTTTTCTAGATGAAAAGTACAGCATTAAGTCCTGTGGGATCTCTCATCCTCTCATCTCCTGTTATTATAGAAGAGACAACCTTCTCCTGCCCTCTGCTGTCTTTTAACCAGTTATTCACACCCAAAAAGGGCTGTTCTCTTACTGAATTAGTGTAGCAACTTCAGAAAAGGGACTTCAGCAAAAGCCCTCTGGAAATCCAAGTGCAATAGGTCAGTTTGAAGCGTTACCTCAGGCTTATCCCTGTAGAACACAAGGCTGGATTTGGTCTCTCTTCAGTTAAAGTAGAAAGATTTAATCAAACGACCTAGTTAATTCCTCCCTGGTCTTCAAAACACTTCCCCCTATCACCTCCCCCCAAGCTGATATAAGTCCCCACTCTGGTTGGGAATGCTCTGCTGCCAACAGACCCTCTATATGAAGGATTTGTTTTGCTCTTTGCTCTATTTTATCCCTTTAGCCCTTGCAATAATACCCTGAGGGCAGTTTAGACTCTCATGGACGTTGCCTGTCCTGGAGCCCAGCTGGTGGAAGTCCTGCACCTGAGCCACAGCAGTGACAATGTCCACGGCCCTCCTTGCACTGGTAAAATGCACCTTCTCTTCCTCAGGTGTCCGTAGTGAAAAGTGAGGAGACCAAGATGCGCCAGGAGGACCTCAGCAGGTTGCTATACGAGGTACAGATACTGAGAAGTCAGCAGGAGAACATGGAGTGTCAAGTGCAGGACATGAAGCAGTGAGTTGAATCCTACTCAGGCTGCTTCTTGCGGGCATTTGCTTTTCTGGGGTTGCTGGTCTTGGGGAACATTAGAAAGGAGGAGCCTTCCCTCCCTCCCACGGACCGTGTGCTGAGCCAGGGACTAATCATAGGAACTAGATCTGTTGAGACAATAACCTGGAGGATTTCTATGCAGACCTGATGATCTGCAAATGAATCAATGCTCAGCCTCTCTGCCTTCTGTGAAAGGCATATTCTCATTATCTGTAACTTCCCTTTGCAGTTGAGGAGAGCACAGAGGAGGCCATGTAGGAAAGCTGTGCATAACCTGGGGATTTAACTCAGATAACAATATTTCCTCCTCCCTTTACCCTTTCTGTACTGGTAAAGATGTAACTCTTTCTCACACTTACTAGAGTCCTTGGCAGAAATGTGGTGGTGTCCACTCCAGCTATTAAAATATAAACAAATAGCTCTGTCATCCTCCACCTCCAAAATATATAGACTGGCCTAAAACACTTAGGAGCAGAAGAACTGCTGTAGTGTTTAGTCCATGTACCCAAGGCTTTGTCTTCTGACATGGGCAAAATTATTGTAAAAGAGCAAAAGAAGCAAACACAAGGCTTCTTGCAGGTGGCTGCCTGAGACTCTGGGGTTTTCTGAGACAGACATGGTCACTAGGAATGTAGTAAATTGATAACAGTTTTATAAATCATGTACTTGCAGAAGTTTTTATTTGCCTCCAGACTTTTAATCCGTACAGAGAACTTTGTTTAAAAAGCACTTGAATAATCAAAAAGACCCAAAGGCCCTCTCAAGGCATCCTGGCCCTTGAGAGAGCACCATGAGCTATGAAACTTCATTCCAGCTCAGTACCCAACATGCAACTAATAAATATTTTTATCCTACTTCAGCTTCTAATGACTCCTTCACTTAGCACATGCATGAAATCACACCATGAAATCCAGGTGCAGTGGCAAGGAAAGAGTTTCTAGTCTTGTATCGTATTTAATTTTTAAGGAATTCCAGTATTGATGATTTGGCCTTGCTTTTAGATTATTCTCCCTTTTGATTTGCTTCTTTCTTCCTAGTTCTAACATCAATCCCCACTAAAACCACCTAAGGGACATGTGGCAAAAAGAGTTACGAGTTTCACTTCTGTGGCAGGTTTTGCTGGTCTGTCAGTTTTGGTACATCCATGCACTCTTGAGATAAATTGACTGGCAAAAGCTTTTGCAGCATGGACTTGGCTGGCTTCCCAGTTTGGAGGCAGAGAGTAAATAAACTGTGCATCTCCTCATCCCACTTTCTGGGGCTGAGTGTTCAGGGAGGCCTGGAACTCCCCTGTGTGGTACATTTGCAGACAGAAAATGAGTATAACAAGCTGGGCATGGGTCTGTGCTGGATGAAATCAGTGGCTTCCACTAATGAAATCATTACAATCCTCCTAATTCAAGGCTGTCAGATGTAGAAGCATCCCTTTAGCTCCAGTCACTCTCAAACATGCCTTGGTACCACCACATGTGTGTTTCCAGCAGGCAGAATACATAGGATCTATATCCTTAGGGATATCTTGGGTTTTTGGGAGCACTGAGGGCAGTTGAGGAGAGGTTAGGCTTTCTTGGTTCCCACAGGAAGAACAGTCTTAGACATCCAAATAATTCAAAGTTATTAATCAGGCCTTCTGAGTGTGGCCCAGATGCTCCATGAAAACTAAACACACATCTGACACTTGTTCCACTTCCTTCTAAATGTGCTTTTCATTGTTTCTCCTCCGTGCTTTGGCCTGTGGTTCTTTCAAGGTGAGGGGAAGCCAGGAAAGCACTGCAAGGGCCCCAAAGAGGGTCAGACTCTGCACAGTCAGGGCCACAGCTCCTCGTGGCAGCACCGTGGGCTGTTGGGGGTGTTTCTGTGCTCACAGAAAGTTTCTCTTTCCCTTTTCCTTTGGCGAGAAGTCGTGTCTCTCCGGCAGAACCACTCCCAGCAACAGAAAGTGATCAACAAGGTAGTGCTCACAGAAATCCCTAACTCATTTGTTCTGCCTGGTGTGTGTCCTCCTCTCATTTTTAATTTTTTCTTTTTTCTTGTGTCCTGGTTTGAGCCAGGATGAAGCCAATTTTTCTTTTAATTTTTCTTTTTAATCAGTAAAAAGAAAAATTGGCTTCATCCTGGCTCAAACCAGGACATCTTGTCCCATAATCTTCTCCACACTCTCTTGCAAAGTCTCTTTCAAATGGCATGATGCTCTGACGTGTCAGGGACAAAGCACAGATGATGCCCTCCAGCAGGAGATTGTCATTTCCCTGCCACTCCTTGCTGTGATGGTAGAAACCACTTTTCTGTCAAAGTCCTGAGCAAGAGGGCACAACTCTGACTAACTGCCCTGTACTGGCTGGGCTCTGGTTGTACTGCTGATGCCTTTGGGCTTCCCAAATCTTTCCTTAGTACAAGAGGAATTACTGTAGAGCCACTGAGGCTGAAGGAGCACTGTGGAGCCATGTCCCTTAAAATCTATCATGGCCCATGCTCAAGAAAAAAGGGCTCTCCAGTGATTCCCAGATGGTGCTGACATGAGTGAGCCCATCACATTTCCCAGTCCCCCTGAGAGCCACATTCTGACCCTCACGTGGAATCACAGGGTCACAGGACTGGATGGGAAGGCACGAGGCTGTCAAACCTTCCTCCAGCTCTGAGGCTGGACCAGCCACACAGCTCATTGTAGAGGCATTTGTGCAACTCTATTTTGTTACATTGAGCAATGAGTAAGAGACAGCTGTGATATATAATGATAATGCTCTCTTTGTTTGGAGGTCAAAGCAGAGCATTAGGCTCAAGCTGACCTGGGAATATGTTGCTGAGTGATTCCTCTCCAAAGCCATTCTGCATCCAGTTTAGTGTCCTGTTATATCAACTGGAATGTCACAGGGCTGAAAAACTCAACTGAAAGAGCTAAGAACTCCATCTGGGGTCTCTCTTTCACTTGCAAAGACGTAGTCAGACTTTATAGAGCTTCTTCTAAGGGACTCTAAAGACCTTTATGGAGGCCAAGTCTTACTCCAGGCCTAGGAATGTTTGCCTGTGTATTTGACAGGCAGATTCCCAACTCCAGCAGGGCTAGCTGGAGTTCTGCACGCATGGGAATGGAGAGCAAGCACTGAGCACGTGCATCCAGCAGCCCTCACACAAAGCAGACACCTGGCAGTGTTTCTTGAAAGCCAGGCAGGTCTTTTGAGTTCTTGGAAAGCTTAGTTCAGTTTTGGGCTTCAAAGGCCCATGCCATTTGGCTTCCATACTTCACGGGTGCTCCCAGCTCTGGGGTGGGGTGGTGAGGGAGGAATGTGTGAAGGGCTCTGGGAGCAGGGAGTGCTGAATCACTCTGCTGATCAACACCGGATTTTGATCTCTCCTGACAGCTGATTCAGTTTCTGTTTGGCCAGCTCCAATCCAGCCCCAGCAGCACTGGGATAAAGAGGAAGCTGTAAGTACCCTTGTGTGGTGCACACACACAGGCTCACGGGTGCAGAATCCTGCCCCCTCAGTAAAAAGCACAAGCTCAGCTCCCCCGGGCGGGCGGTCACCGGACCAGGGCACCATGGTGATGGGAAATGAATGGGCTGAACTGCTGAGTCAGACCTGCTGACATGGCCCATTCACTGGCCTTTAGAGAAGCACCGTGTCAGCTCAGGACCTTTATTTGGGGAGTACAGAGGGAGATGGGGAATGGGTGGGAGGGTAAAGGGCAGGACCCCACTGCTGGTCCTACAGGTTCCAGCTTTGCTGCTCCTGATCTGTGGCTGATCCAGACACCTGCAGTCTGACCCACAGGGACTGGGTGGGGTGTGTAGCCAGCACAGGTTTGGTGGCATGGAACCTGCAGGCCTTACAGAGGGGAAGGTGGAGAAAGATTTTAGCTAAGAGGTGTCTTTAGAGCCATAAAGACATTCTTCAAGGCAAATGAATAGAGGAGCTGGACTTTGGAGGCTTGGTGCCTTCCAGGAGAGCAGCCATGTATTTCTTGCTCTGTGGTTCTTGTCATCTAAAGAGGGGAGAAGGGCTACTAGGAGGAGTTTACCTTTGTGGCTCAGGCTGAGGGCAGGCACCTGCCTCCAGTTGCCACCTCTGTTTCTGTTGGCTTTCCCTGGTGCCCAAATCACTGTCTTCTAAATGAACACTGCAGATGCTTTTCCTGACTGTGGGACAGTGGGAGATGAAAAGGGATTTGCTAGGCAGTTATATAGGATCCTCACCACATTAACAATAGGGGGTGTGTGGCAAATGTTTACCAGTTCCCTGCTTCCCTTGGACTCGATCACAAAACCAAGGGCTGCCACCCAGGAGGTTTTATGATGGAAAGGCAGGGCCACTTTGAAGCTCCTTCCCATTTCCTCTCCATTTCAATCATTTGCTAAACACAAAGCACTCCTGCTGCAGGGCCCAGCATGCAAACCTGCTTCCTCTGTACAAGCCTGGCAGTCAGGTTTTTTTAAAAGCCTGTGTGCAGCGGGTTCATGCTCTGCTCTGCTTTGTAGCTCTGTTGTGTTTCTTAGTTACTGGGTAGCACTGGTTCCTTTTGTGCAGATGTAGTTTTCCCAAAGAGGCCCTGAGTGTGAGGGAGCTGGAAGCAAGGCCAGATTCCCAGTATTGCAGTGGAAGTGCCTCCAGTCAAACAAGCTGAGGATCCAGCCCAGAGCTTGAAACCACTAGCAATCAGAAGAAATTATGAATTCAAATTGTTAATTTCAAAATATGAATTTCTTATGTTACTTAGGTCTTTCCAGTAAGATCTAGAAAATGCAGGTTGTCCCTCCTCTATGTGCCTTTTTTAATGGTGACCTTCTCCAAAACTGTTGTTTCCCTTCCTTGTCCGTAACACTGGGCAAGAAAGGACCTTACAGCTGAGGAAAAACAGTACCCAGGGGGAAAACAACCCTGAGCTGGGAGGCATTTCTTGTCTGAGCAACCAGGAAGCAGGCAGGGTGTGCTGGGAAGACAGCCCTGTTTCTCTTCACAGGCCTCTGATGCTTGACAACGGGATCTCATCCCCACAAGTGTCCAAGTTCAGCCGGCACTTGTCGCCAGACCCGCTCCATGACCCCTACTTCATCCAGTCGGTGGGTTCCTGCCAGCCTCTCAGCTCTGAAGGGGTCCTGGGCCAGTGTGGGAAAACGTGTGGAGCAGTAATAGAGGTTCTGGAGTAAGCAGCTGGGCAAGGAGAGGTTTGCAAAGCTGAGGGACATTTATTATTTCTCCTGGTGCCCTGTTCGAGGGAGGGGCACGTGCTTGTATGTGCTTGTGCGTGGTCGTGTGGGAGGGAAGGACAGATCTTCCCTGGTGTTACCCCAGCCTGGCTCACCTCAAGGGCAGAGAGGAGGAAAAGATGTTTTCCAAGGAGGTGCTGTGATGTTTCTGACTAGAGTCCAATTTTTGCAGTCTCCAAGGGATCCCCACCACCCTAACCCACTAGAGCAGACACCAGACACAGGACGTGTCCTGCTGCCGAAGTACTTGAGCTGACATAAGAGACCCATGGTCCCATGTTGGACTGTGTTGGATTTCTCCCTCCAGGGAAAGCTAAGCAGTCTAGGCAAAATGGTAAAACCCTTCAGTAGGTGACACTTCAGTGCTTATGTTACACCTGTGTGGCTGGAGGAAAGACTAGAGGAACCTATAGTGTTGCATAGTGCCATAGAATCATAGACTAGCTTGGATTGGAAGGGACCTTTAAAGATCATCTTGTCCAACCCCCAAAAAGTAAGTGAAAGTAGGTAAAAGCTTTCTTGGTTTCTGTACAAGGAGGATTCAAGGGTGTAGTGAGTAAATTCTGTCTGTCTCAGGGACTTGTTCTGTCCCTCACCAGGATAAATCTACATGACTTTTGCTTTCCTCTTCAGCCACCAACAGAACCTGCCTCTTGCTTAAACAGCCCTGCAATTGCTGGAGGACCCATTATATCTGATGTTACTGAAGCATCACCACCCAACATGATAAATATGCAAACCCCTCCTGAAAATGACAGGTAAACACATTTGTGGTGACAAGCAGGGAGAGCTGGGTGTGGACATATGTAACTTCAGAAGAGTTTTTCCAGGCTCTAATTCTACCAGAGTTTCTATCTGATTTGCAAGTCTCTACAGAGATGGTGGCTGGAAAAGTTGTTTCCAGTTTACAGTGTGGGTCAGATTTTCAGAACTGGAGAGGGATAACAACTGCATAACTTTTGACACAGTCATGAGTTCCATGCTGAGAACTTCCACTCACCTCTTTGAGAAGTATCCCATGTTTCTTTGTAGTTTGTTCTCGAGAGAGAGGCTGTCTCAGACTTTATGAAATAATGAGATACTAACACTTGTTGGGTTTGTTGAGAGGGGGGGAGAGAAAGGCAGTTTCCTTTTGGCTTTGACAAAGAAACAGAATCAAACTGCACATCTTCCTGCTAATGAGAACAGAAAGGTTGCATCACAGTGGCTTCCGATGCTTGACAGCTTTTCTGTGAAAAGGTCCCAGTAGCTCAAGAACTGAATGCAGAGGTATTTTAATGCTTATCTCTTCCTGCCACAGACATGAAGTGTAGTTAGGGCCAGCAGCAGAGGAGCTACAGCTGTGTCAGTGGAAAGCAAGTAGACAGATGAATCATGGAAAGAGTTTCTCAGGCATAGAGGCAAGGCAGTTCTACTCTAGAAATTGCCTGTAGATTTGCATAATAATGGAAAGCAGAGCCATAAAATTAGCTGGAAGCATGTGAAGAGCTCCACAGACACACACAAAAAATTAAGAATTAAACCTCCAAACCTGGAAGCCCTTTCTGAAGCAGAAAAATGTTAATATAACCTTAAGTGAAGTTGCTTATTCCTGCTAATTACTGGGTGCCATCTGGTGGCCTCTGATCTGTGCTGTGTCTGCATGACTTGGGAATCTGAGCCAGCCACAGCCCTCAGGAGTTCAGGAGTTCCTGAATCAACAGGAGCTTCTGCTGGAAGGTTAGGATTCACGAGACAAGAAGCTCATCTGAAAGGAATGCCAAGGAAGGCTTTGTGGTGTCACATGCCATCCTGTGTGTGTGGGACAAGCTCCAGTGTTGTCTTGCAGCAAAGCTGGTCTGTCAGTGCTGTGAGATAGGATGGCTTTGCATGCCTTTGGCACTTTGCCTCCAGATGTTCCCATCTGCAAGGAGCTGTGGATAGTACACAAGCAGCACAGGGTAGAGTTTTCCATGAAAGATGCTGCTTGGCAGAACTTGAGTGTCATACATCCACCTAGGGATCACATGGAATGCTGCTTCCCCTGGAAAACAGCAAAACTCTGCTTCCAAACAAGTAAATGATCTAACTGGGACTGTCGGATCTTGATAGATTCTGTTACAAATCCTGCAGGGCCACAGGATCCTGACCTGTGTCACTGGGATCTCTGGAGTGCCTGCTGGCCCAAACCTAACTCCAGCATGGGAATGTCTTGCTGGTCCCATTCCTGTCTCTCGGGTGGAGACTTTTTCAGGGGAACCTCTCTAGCCTCATGGTCCTTTAGCCTGTCTCAAAAGTGACCAACACCTGGAAGTGTATTTCCTGAATTTGCAAAATGGGGCAAAGTCATGATACCCATGACTGATGAATGAGTGAAGATATTTTAGCTGAGCATGTTTCTGGAAATGGATGGGGAGAAAACAAGGCTGCTGGTTTCTTTTGCCTGCCTGGGAGAATAGGAAGAAGAACATGGGGCAGTTTGATGGGAAGTGGAGTCAAGCCCTTGTGCTACTGCCCCTCCCAGTAGCACGAAGCCTTTGTGGAGTGTGTATGTGTGTGTGTGTGGTGCTAACTCTTGTCTCTGACACAGAGAGAAGTGCCTGATGCTGATCAAAGAAGAGCCAGTCAGCCCTGGAGTGAAAGCCCCCACGGAGCCTGACGTGCCCCTGCCGGGCTGCCGGGCCTTCTCCGAGCCCCCCGTGCTGCCAGTTGCCATGGTGCAGTCTGTTCTGGAGGGCAAAGGGAGCTGTGGTGCAGCCCCACCAGGGACCTCCCAGCCATCTGAGAGAAGAGGCAGAAGGGCATTGCTGGACAGGTGAGGGAGGGCTGTGACCCTGGTGTTTCCTGGCCATCTCTTCCCATTAGCCAGGGAGAAAGGGAAACTGACTTCAGGTCACCTCATTCAGCCTGGTGAGCTCTGTCCTGTACCTGCAGCAGCTGCTTAGAGGACCCTTGAAGCCCAGGGAACAGTTCACAGGGTTTGAGGGTCTATGGATGACTTTCTTGAAGGACCCAGGAGAGGAAAAGCTGTCAAAGCATGTGCACCAGAGTCATAGTGGTGGAAAAAAGCACAAAACAGCAGGGTCATCAGAAAGGCTTCTGTTCTTTGGGTCCTTACAGAGAAACAGATTCCTCCTCCTGAGCCCCCTGGCTACTTAAAAACATTTTATTAGAAGAAAAATGGTCCTTTTGTAAAGAGTCTGGATTTTAAGAGAAACTTCTGTAGCTCTTTGGGGGGGTTAAACACAGCAGGGCCTCACAGTTTCTGCTAGGTGAAGGTCTCTGTAAAGGGAAGCTGCAAGCTGAATGCCTGCAGGTTCCATTAGGTGTTAGTAATTGAGCCACCCTGGACCCAGGAGGATGGGAATATGCAGCCTGTTCTGGTTCCCAAGTGCCTCTCTGGAAGCATTTCTTTTAAGGAAAGCTTGAATATTCCCAGTCTTGAAGAGATGTGCACAGACAGTCCATCCCCAAATCACACGTCACCCAGGGGAGGAGGAGGAGTCTTAGCCCAGTCCCCTGAGGCTCTGCTGGGTTGTACTGGGATCAAACCAAGGGGAACAGCCCAAGCCCAGGCTGACAGTGGGCTCCTGGTTTTCAAAAGGTGATTTAAGCATAATCCTCATGTCAGAAGGCTGCTCAGTGCTGCTTTGTATTTGTGTCTGTGCAAGTCTCATCCCTGGCAATATTTCCTCTTGTCTTTCCTCAGAACAGATATTTCAGACCCATTGGAGGGCACGGACTGGAGCCTGGAGGGGCTGCAGCTGCTGCTGAGGAGCCAGCAGTACGGCCTGGAACCCACCAGCCTCTTGGATGTGAGTGTTGGGCCCTTGGCTGGGGCACCTGAGCACTGACCCAGCTCACAGAGGGACCTTGGGCTGTCAATCATACAGCCCCTGCTGCTGCTTCTTCTGCTGTGGCACTTCTGCTGCCAGTAGTCACAGCTTGGAGACACAGCCTGCTCATAAGTGCTGGCAGGATATCAAACTTCTAATGATGCTTTTTAATATTTCTTCTGAAAATAGATGTATTTTAACTTCTAGGAGCACAAGACGATGCATTTGGTAAAGACATCATCATGAGACCTAACAAATGTACATCAAACAGATTTAATATGGCTATCTAGCTAGTTTGGTAACTGCTCTGGGTGGGTTAGTTTATTTTCTGCATCTTAGATACTCCTAGACTGTGACTAGCTCTACTAACTTTCCCTTTTCCTCAAGTTCTGGGAAATGTAACTGATGTCAAACACTCTCTCTGCTGAGATATTTATGTCTGTAGTTCTCAGGTCTCTCTGTCTTTAGAAATGGATAGTGGCTTTTTTCTGAAATAGATGTGCAGAAATATGAAGGTTTGTTTATTTCTCTCCCTTCACTTTCTATCCTTGTACATAGAGTTGCTTTTACCAGTAATCAAGTGTGTAGCATAGTACATATATGTCTCCTTTGGGGAGGTGCTTCAGACACAGCACGTGGTGATCTTGCCTGGATAAACAAGAGTTAAAAATAATTTTTCAGACAATCAATCTTACTCTCTTAAAGCCAGTTCCCAAGTGTCTGTGATTGATTTTGACTTTAGGGAAAGCTTTTCTAGTGGCCTCCTCTCTCACTGGCTCTGCTGGTTTCAGTTTCTCATTCCTCACTGGGAGGTGCTTTCCTGTTACTGACACACTTTTCTCTCTCTGGGCAACATCACCAGTGAGAATGAATCATAAAACTGTACCCCAGATCAGCAGCTCCTTTCCCCAGATGGCTCAGACTTCCCAAGAAATCCCCATTGATGCAGCAGCCATCAGCTCCTGCTCCTATGCTTTGGAATGCTTGAAAACCCCACGTGACTCTGGAAACATCCTAAGACCCAAGAGCATGAAAACCCCACGTGACTCTGGAAACATCCTAGGACCATCCTAGGGCAAAAAAAAAGGGGCTCTGACTTGCATGTGCAGTGACACCGAGGTGGTGGTGGGTCTGTGGGGACCCTCCAGGGGCAGGCAGCAAGGCTTGCTGATCACACAGGTGCCCACAGCTCAGCCCTTGCTGGGCTGCAGGTCAGCACCAGTAGCTTTGCCTGCCACCCCAGTGTCAGCACAGCTGGGGCAGGTGCTGCTTTCTGCAGGGCTTTCTGCTCCTGGGGCAGCTGAGGGGATTTGAGTGTCTCCAACCATGACACCTTGCAGAGCCCTGATGTTATTTTTCTCCTCACAGGTCTTTAATCCAAATGTATCTTTGAGTGAGTGGAATTTGACTGAAATGGAAGCCAATCTGTCCCCGGTAAGAGATGTGTGTGGCTGAGATGATAATGATGTGGTTATGGAGCAGAGCTTGTGCATCACTGAAAAATGCTTAGTCATTTTATGGCCAGATGGGAGAGTGTGCTAAAGCGTGTACCCATCTTTGGAGGGGAAGTGGCATCTCATAGTCTGGATCTGTCTTTCCCACTCAGCCAGAGCTTGTTTAGAGTCCTGTTGGTGTCCTGGAGTCTTTCCTTGAAACTGGCCACTCTAAACTTCCTCATGAATGTCACATCCTACTAATCCCATAGATCCATAAAGTGTCTTTGTGCCAAAACTCCTTGTAAAACATCCCTTTATAAAGTGCAGCCATTCCTGTACCTTTCAGGAGCAGTAAAACCACATGCAGTTAGAGCAGAGGTTCATGCACACCCCTCCAGAGAGATGGTTTGGCAGCTTTTGGTTGGAATTGACACTGACACAGGCATTTGTCATGTGCAGATGGTGATTTAATGAGCACTGAGGGAAGTGTGTGTTTCATGGCTGGGTTTTTTTTCCTGCTTGATGCAGGGTGAATTTTCAGAGCCCTTGCTGCTAGGCAGGTGGGATAAAGACTTGGACAGTTGTGCCATCTCTGCTGACTCACAATCAGAGTGTGCTCTATCACTAATGAAGTGTGGAAGGTCTCTCAGCCTTCTTCAATATATCACTGTCCATTTTAGGTTTGGATTTAATAAGTTTGACTTCCCCAGGTAATTCCACTTCCTGAGTGCTAGGAAAGAGAGTCTCTGAAGAGACAGAGAATATTACCAAGGCTTGGAAGTGAGGGGGGGGCTCTTTTAAAAAGGGTTGCATGAGAGGAAAGGCCAGGGGGGGCTGCCATGCACAGTCCTCCAGACCACTGAATTTCTCAGCAGCTGGGTGCAGCCCACCCTTAGACTTGCCCGTCCTACAGAAAACCAGGAGCAGAGAGAAGCCTGGAAGCAACACCTGCAGCAGCTCCATGCCAAGAAGCACCGTGCAAGCAAAAAAAAAAAAGCTAATTTTACTTTTCAGTGGTAGGCAAAGGGAGAGAAGATTCCTTTCGTATTTGTTGCTGCCGGCCGGGCAGGGACAGCCTCGGTGACACTGGCCTGGCCTCCTCAGGTGACATGAGCTTCACAACGGGGGCTGGCACCTCCCTCAGCTCCCTCCTGCAGCACAAGGTGTCCTGCCCGAGGGGGGAGGCAGGGAGGAGAGGCAGGGCAGGGCGAGGAGCTCGCGTTACCGCTGGGTGTTGTGCAGCGTCGCTGGTCTGAAGTGCCCTAGTTCTAACAAGCTCCCCTGTCTTTGTATAATTGTACATTGTAGTTTATATTTTTGCACCAAGATGCAGCGACTCACAGTGGATCTGGAGAAGAATGCAACTGAGCTGCCCTCCAAAGTGTTCAGCCCACCCTTCAGCAGCACCTGCCCAGGTAGGAGCACCAGCAGCTCTTCCAGGCATGGGGAGGGGGGTGGAATCAAGGTGTTCATCATGGCAGCAGATAAATGCAGCATCCAGCACTGACCATTTGCCACTTTGAGTGAAAAAAAAGCCCACATTTGTTATTTTACCTCCATGAGTGCCAGTCAGCTGTGCAATGTAGCTGAACAGTCTCTGCTCCTCCTTAGGTCCTCTTCATATCTCTCCATGTCTCCATGGTTTCTCAGACTGTTCCTCACCACCTCAGAGCAGTGTGGTGATCTGGGTGGGCAGGGTGGTAGGAGCTCTGTGTGTCCTGTATCCCTCTGGCTCCTGCTGCAGAGGTGACCTGGGAGCTGCAGCAGCCAGAGGCAAAGATTGCAACTCCATTTCTCCAGAGCTTTCAGCAGCCCTCCAGGGAGCTGTCCAGCTCATCATCTTCCCCTACCTGGCCTGACTATCATGTCATTTACCTTAGATAATCATCTAGAAGTGTTTTCTGGGTCTTGGAATAGTGCTCTATTATTATTTCCATGTGTAATTCAGCTGGGCTAGACCTGAAAGAGAAGCTGTTTTGAGCCTTAGTTTGGTGCTGGAGCCACTTGACCCCACCCCAGAGGTTTGATGTGTTGTGTGTCATTCAGGGACTTTCCACCTTCAGCTCAGCATCTTGTGTGAGCATCAGAGGTGTCAACAGCCCAGGTGAGCTGGGGAGGGTCCTCCTGCAGGCTGGGCCTGAGCTGCATCTCCTCTTTGCCACACCTTCCTGGTCCCTGCAGTGGAGTGATGGGGCAGCTGGCAAAGACCTTCTGCAGAGACAAGGAAAACCAGAACGTTTCCAAGTGAAGGAGAAAAGAAGCTGCTCTTACTCACTTCTCAGTGTCTCCAACCCTTTGTTCATCCCTCTTTCACCTCCCCTGAGGCATCTCAGCATTCAGGCAGAACCCAGCCTGGCAACCTGATTGGCCCATCAATTTTAATGGGCCAAATGAGTCCAAATTTACCTCAAGTGTTTCTAAGCTTGTTTTTGGTTTTGCCCAGGGTGAGGCCCCTCCCCTCCTGCTGCAGTGGAGATTTGCCACTTTCCAGTTCTCTAGGTGTGAAGCCTGGTAACTTGCCTTCCAGAAGCTGAGCTTGTTGTTGTCCTTTTGCATTCCCAGGGAAAGATGTCATTCTGGAAAGCACCCAGCAGTTCCTCACTGACCGTCAGTCCCTCTTTGGAACCGACCTGGTCAGCTTGCCTGAAACTTCTGCACTTTACCTTCCAACTGAAAACGGGGCTTCCTACCTGTCCTCTGTGGGTGTCCAAGGGGACATCCCCTTAAACCTCAGCTCTTCAACTGACAGCAACCAGTGAATCAGCTTCCAACAAACAGCATCACCCTCCTACCCATCCAAGGTTTGAATGTAAAGAAGCAAAAGTGACTCAGAAACCCACAAGAGAGTTTCTTTTTGTGCCCTTTCTGTTTTGAGTAGATGGAAATGCTCAGTATCTCTTTACCCTCCCTGGTAACCTGGGTTTCAGTGTTTACCCAGGATAACAATTTTAAAACAGAACCCTGCCCCTGGTGCTTCCTCCTGTGGGGGGTGAGAACTTGGCAGGATTTATTTATTTATTATTTATTTTTCCTTGAAAATGCTTTTAGAAATTTCAGATCTTCTAATAAAACTTAAGTGAAGAGTAGCTTGGAAGTACATCAGGGACTATCATAAAATCAAGTGGTCCTGACTAGTGTGTGCAATGGCAAACTGGGGCAGAACAGCTGAGCTAAGATGCCTGACCCTTCTGGCTGCTGTTTATTTTAAATAGGAAAAGAGTTGTACCTGCCAGTCCAGAGCTCTCAAAACGTTCTTTGATCTGTTCTTTTTTTGGGGGATGTACTTGTGCCTCTCCCTTCTCCTCCTAGGGTGAGTAGGGAAGTGAAGAACTCTTGGGGTGTGCAGAAGGTGAGGTTCTGAGTGACCACTCCAAGAACTCTGGCTCCTCAGGGCATCACAGGCCCCAGAACATCCCATGCTGACTTCAGAGGGTTCATTGTCTGGGATATTTTTTTCCCCAAAATTTATTTTCTTTAACTTAAAGGCAGGACACCCCATTCTTAAAAAAAGAAAAAAAAAGGGATAGACTTTGCACATAGAATTTTCCATGTGCAAAGAGGACTGAGGGAACTCACTCTGGGCTTTGGTGCTGGCTAAGTATTCCATGTCCAGTCCATGGTCTTGCTCTGTTCTATTTCCCCTGAAGATGTGCCAGTGGTTTGTTAACGGATAAAATCTGATGAACCAGTTTAATTTATTTCAGAATGTTTTTATTTTAAGAATGGTTAAGGTTGGAAGGGACCTTAAAGATCATCAGGTTGCAGCCTCCCTGCTATAAACAGGGACACCTCCCACCAGCCCAGGCTGCACAATCCTCATCCAACCTGCCCTTGAACACCTCCAGGGAGGGGGAATCAACAACCTCCCTGGGCAACCTGTTCCAGCACCTTCCTACCCTCATGGTGAAGAATTTCTTCCTGATGTCTAACCTAAATTTTTCCTCTTTCAGTTTAAAACCATCACCTTTGTCCTCTCCCTCCCTGCCCTTGTCCCAAGTCCCTCCCCAGCTTTCCTGGAGCCCCTTCAGGCACTGGAAGGTGCTCTAAGGTCTCCCTGGAGCCTTCTCTTCTCCAGGCTGAACACCCCAACTCTCCCAGCCCGTCTCCAGAGCAGAGCTGCTCCAGCCCTTGGATCATCTTTGTGGCCTCCTCTGGACTCTCTCCAACAGCTCCATGTCCTTATGCTGAGGCCCCAGAGCTGGACACAGCACTCCAGGTGGGATCTGACCAGAGCACAGCTGACGGGCAGGATCCCCTCCCTGGCCCTGCTGCCCACACTTCTGTTGGTGCAGCCCAGGACACAGTTGCTCCTCTGGGCTCCAGTGCTCACTGGTGGCTCACGTCCAGCTTCTCATCTCCTCCCACCCCCAGGTCAACTCCAGCCCTTCTCCCCCAGCCACTATTTGTGTATTTGATCAGATCCCCTTTCTAGAAAGCCTCTCAGAGACAGAAGGGTTAGTCCACACATCCCACTAACTCTTCCTCTGTCCTTTGTGCACCTGAGACCAGCTTCCCAAGGTTGAATTAACCTTTTCCATGTGCTTTCTGACAACTGAATCTCTCAACAAAGCAGAGCTTTGGTTTTTATGCTGTAGTTCTAATAAGAACATACTAATTTCAGTATCCTCTGTGTTGCTTTTCCTTAGGAAAGCTACCCAGGTGCAGGAAGGCAGACCCAGGAAATCCAGCTAACTCAGGCCTCCTCAGGGCTCAGACAGGGAGGTAGAAGCTGTGCCAGTGTCACTGGAAGAAAAGCTCTGCCCATTTCCATTCCATTGCTGGCTCTTGGTTCCAAACCGGAGCATCTTGAATGGTCAAGCAGCCCCCACCCCAAAATGTAACCAATCAGCTGACTGCAGGCTCAAACTCTCCTCAGTAAGATGAGCATGTTTTAGGTGGACCTTCCTGTCACAGCCTGTTCCTCCATCCATTTTTCAGAATGTGAAGAGATGTGTTCAGAAACAGTCATTTTTGAGCCCATTTTTCCCCAGCTGCCTGTTGTGTGCCGGGAGCTCTGTCACCACCTTGCTGGGGCAGTCTTTGAGCTTCTGAAGTAATTCCAGCCCCTGTTTTTGTGTTCAGGACTAAGGGAAAAGTCTGGCAGCCCCCACTGGCCTGGTATTTAGATGCTGTGCTTTAGTGTGTTAGGGGCAAGGTTTTCCTTTTGGACAGATTTGTGCTTAGGAAGTTGACCTAGATCAGCCTATTCCCCACCATGTTTAGTCACTTCCAGTGATGGGAAGTCATTCTGTTGCACTCTTGTTTACTTCTTGTCTCATAGATGATTGAAACCTGGTGTCTTATCTCACCCAACAAAGTTTGTTACCCCTGCTCAAGATGTTTTCTCCCCATGCTGGATGGCCTTAAAGTTAACACTGAAGGTTTTGATCCAATTAGATATTTAAGCACGTGCTGAACTTCAAGCTCCTGAATAGTTTTCCTGGATTTTTATGAAGCCCATCACAGGCCTGAGGTCAGACACAGCTTCAGTGTCTTAGTGGATGGTCCAGTTGGGCTTGAGGGATGGACCATCTTCAGGAGAGCTGCTGGCAGGCACAGAGGGATCTGCACCACAGCACCTGCAGCTCCTCCTGAGCAGCCACTCGGGATGGTTCTTGGGTTTTTCTTTAGGCTTTTTGCTCGACTAGAAAGACAAGGTTGGAGCTGTGATGGTGAGAGGGGAGGCTGCAGGAAGGGTGTTTGAGAGCCACTCCTGTCACCCAGCCAGCTTGTGCCCCTTGGCTTTTCACACTGGTCATTTCACTTGAAGGTGATGTGCTGAGACTGCGTTTTTGCACTATGCTTGTACATTTGTAAAGTTTTACAGAAAAGCTTATTAAAGATGTTTCCTTTTTCTCATGTAGTCCTGCTCTGCTGTTTCTCTCACTACTTCCACCTACCCTCTTTCTCAAGTCCTCCTCAAGTGAAAAGAGCTTTCAGGGATTCAGGAGAGTCACCTGGGAGATAATGTAGGGTCCACTGATGGGCTCTGGGCATCTGTGTGGAAAAACAGGAGCTGGAGCAAAAGAATGTGTAGTTTTTGAAATCACTTGCATTTTGTTATCCTTTTTTCCCTTGCTTTCAGCAATAGCAGAGCTCAAGCTTCGTCCTTGGATTACCATGTGTTAGGACCAATTCTCCTGCCACCAGATGGCACCTCAGCCCAGCTAAGTGGAAATAAATCTTTTCAACAAGCCCGTAATAATTTTTTTGTTCATTAACTATGCTCATCTGCAGGGGCTGTTCAGTGTTGTGTTGCACATTATTAGAGATTTGCAGAAAGATGAGAAAATACATCCACCTGCCCCTGGGTGTGAGGAAGGAAGGGAGCTCACCTGCAGCCTGGCTCCTCTTCTCATTGTTGGTTCTACCATAAAAACAGTGTCAGCCCTCCAGGATGAGGCCACTGCTTTTATGTTGCACTGGACAGTGTGTCATTATGTTCTAACTGCAACCTCCAGCTGTCCTTGAAGCCCACCTGGTGTGACAGGTACTGCTAAGGAGATGACACAAGTTAGACCAGATGTGGTTACAAACAGAATCTTTATTTAGCTCACATGACAGGAACATGTGACAATATGCAGTCAAACCACCTGTGTAATGAAACCCTGAGACATAAACATATAACTCAGACATTCCTAGAAGGATGCAAGAGGAAAAAGTGGCCTAAGAGACTGGAATTTAACCCTTCCAAAGGGAGTGAGAACTGCTGGCTGCCCTGAGGAGCTTGGAGCAGCCCTGGCAGTGGGAGCACAAGGCACTGGTTGCCTGCAGGTCACACGGGATGACCAGCTTATCTCAGGCTGACACAGGAAGTTCTGCCCTGCAGACCACAGGCTGCAACAGCCTCTGACCAACCAGAACACAAGTCCTTTTCTACCACGATAAGTATGATGTCAGCTCTAGGGAACCCACTGCCAAACTTGGCATGTTGAGAATCACCACGTGGTCAGCTACACCCTGGGCTCCAGATTTAGGCCTGTTGGTGTGTTCTCAAAGTGATTAAACCACTCTCAGCACCCTTGTCATCACATACTTTGTGAGGACACTCAGCACCCTCAGCCAGGCCCTGTACTTCTCCAGCTCTGCCATTCCCTGGCAAAAGCATGAAGGCAAAAGGGACAGGAAACTCACTGGTGGTCTTTTAACACTGGAAAAAGAAACGTAGAGCCCAACTTTTAAAAACCATTCAAATAAAACTCAGCAAGAACTCCTGTGTCAAAGAAGAGAAAATAACATTTGAATTCCTTTTTTATTAGGATTCCCACCTAAACAGAAGGAAGAGGTGAACATTAACTAACAGTGGATTGAAAATGTCAACGAGAGTTGGAAAAATCCTGGGTGTATGTGCCCCCCAGATTTCTCTCTGATTAATTATGTCAGTGTAGTCTTACCATCCTCCTCCCATGGACCTGGGCCATCAGGGTGATTGCAGACTGGTGACAACACTAGATTGTCCTTGGGCTCAGTAACAACCTCTTGTATCAAGGGTTTCGAGGGGGCTGCTTGTTGATCTTTGACCTGCAGGTAGCTTTCTGAATCAGCAGGTTCTGTCAAGAAGCTTTCAATAAGGGGTCTTAAGTGCTCCTTCTCATCCTCTTCGTGTATCTTACACACATTTGAAAAAATGGTTGTTGGAACTTCTTCTTCTCCTGCTGAGTTGTCAGACACGCTGGGATCGTTTTGCTCTGATGCGGAATCGTCGGCATTTGTCGTTTCAGAGATGATTTCAATCTTTGGGTGATGTTCCTCCTGTGAAGGTAGAAAACGTGATTGGAAATGCCTTACTCCAGGGGTAAAAGCTAAAAGCGTCTTCTGATGCATGGAACAGCTGTCAGTGTTGATGTGCTCCTCTCCCAAAATGTAGGGAAGATGGGTTCATAGCAAGAGCCCTGCTGCTTTGTGGATCAACGCTGGGTTATCCATTTCTCAGGCATTACTGATGGACTGACCATCAACAGCTCATCCCAAAAGAACCATTTTGGGAATTCAGCCACATGTGGGCTCTGTTCTGCTACCTGACCTCCAAACAGGGGGACCTGACTAACCTTTTCACCTGACTTGGGCTGAGAACAGACCCTTTGGAGCCTGAGAGCTGCTAACACCTGCTCCTTTGCTAATCCTCTCACTTCCCTCCCTGACCTGCTTTTGATTGGAGCCCTTGTTGGCCAAGACATTTTGCAACACTGGTTGGAATCTGTGACCAAAAGAGCAAATAAATTCCAGTCTCACACTGACTGTAGGAAAAGTTTGCATTATCTTGGAGGGACTTGTGCAAACTGGTGCTGTCTCCAGCAAGGTCAGGATGAGTCAACACCAGCACGAGACTTACAGCTGGGCTTTAATCTTCGCTGGTTTCTTCTTCCTTCCTTTCTCCTCTGGTTCTGCTTCCAGGTTTTTGCCCAGCAGATCAGTTTGAGCACAGCACAACATGGGCATGACCTGCTCTGTATCTGACCAGCAGTGGAGCAGGGGACTTTCAATCCCTCTGTGTTTCCAGTGGAAAAGTCTGATTTTCTTCAGTAGCAGGAGACTTGTTCTATCTGTTCAGTCCTTTGCAACATGTTAGTACTGGCAAAGTGTATTTTAAGAGTAATTTTCATAAAAAATATGTTACTGATTGCATCTTTTGTCCTATCATCTATCCAGAATCATGCTCCTCATTTTGCATAACATTTGTAAATGTGTTTAGGGAAGTTTCATCACTGGAATTAGTAAGAATCTTACCTTTTGAACAAAGATTTCCTCTTCTGGGGGAAATTCATTTACATCCATATCTTCTAAATCAGGCAGTTCCTGTGGACAATCACAAGATGATTAATCAGTGGGGAAAAGCTGCTTTAACCAATAAAAGATGATATCTCTAGCTCATCATGGATCTTCTTCAGAATGCTTGCCAGGGGAAGGGGTGAGATGACATGTCCTCTGGTGAGCACATGTGGGAAAAGGACAATTCATCCATGTGCAGCAAGAGCAGCTGGGAAGGCAATAACTTCAATGTCAGACTGAAGGGTCTGCTGTAATGTATGGTTATGGGGGTAAAAAAAACACATGTGGGAAAAGGACAATTCATCCATGTGAAGCAAGAGCAGCTGGGAAGGCAATAACCTCAACTGAAGGGTCTGCTGTGATGTATGGTTATGGGGGAAAAAAAAGGGGGAAAAGGATAAACAGCAAGACATTAGCAAGGTTTTAAAAGCAAATATGATTGATGTCTATTGGCTGTATCTAGTCAATGGACATAATACCATTTTGACAGGTTAGAGGCAAATCAAGATCTGTACCTACCTGAAAATGCTTCTCAGTAAACCCTGCTACCCTAATACATCTAATAAAACAATGTGTTTTTTCTGTGAATGCCTCATAATCAAGGATATAGAACTAGAGACTTGCTGAGAACTGGTCTAATAGTGTCAGCTTTTCATTAGAAAACTTTACCTAAAAAACCTGCCACTTGCTGTGACTTGAAAGCCAAGAGGCTGTGTGTGCAAAATCCCAGGTAGAAAGTAAAACCTTTTTGCCAATTCTTTAATGTAGCTCAGTACTGGTGAAAGCATCTCTTTTTGGTTTTAAGGCTTAGTAGGAAGCTGCTGTGCATGGTATGAACAGCAACATCTAATTGTACCGTGTTGATCGATGAGGGTTATTACAGAATTAAAAGCAACTCAGTTCTTTGTCCTGATGGGGCTGCAGCTCATGCAGCATGTCCTGGAGTCACATTTTTTTATAAGAATATCATTAAAAATGCACACACTGGGGCTTGAGGCTAATGCTGGGGGCTGGAATCTGGTGTCAAGAGGGAAGTGGCACAGTTGTTAGTCTTGTTCCAATCAGCAGGGTGTGTTTGCAGCTCAAACCAAAGTTGCTTCCTACAAGTTAGATTGTTTCTTTCCTTTCAGTTTTCCTGGAAGCAGATTTTTCTTAGAACCCTGGCCATGCAGCTTTGTTATCCAGGATATCAGAAGAATTAATCTGGGAGCAGACAATACCCAAATCTTGGAACTTCCCAAAAATCTGACTCCCATACATACCTCAAGATAAAGTTTCTCTGGTGTCTCTAGTTTGTTCTGCTCCATTTCAGCATGTTCATCCAGTTCAGGAAGCACAGCCTTTGGGGTTGCTTCCTCCTCTCTTGGGAGATCTGAAGAGCAAACAGGAGTTAGTTGCAGAGAACTAACTGAATAAAAGACTTTTCACACTGCAACAGCAAGGACTGAAAAACCAGCTGCTGGGGACCTGACTGCCCTGCAGGATTCTCAGCTGGATCCTGCTCTTTGTCCTTCCATCATATTCTTGGTCCCCCTTCAAATGTATCAATTCATATTTGCATTTTGCAATGATGTATTCCACAGAGCCCACAGTCCGTGTGGGAGCAAGTGGAACCCATGAGCTCTCCTGCCCTCTTGCTAAACCCAGCATGCATGAGAAGTGCAATTCTACCTTTACGTACCAGAAATTGCAGGCTCAGAATTGGTTATGTTTGTTGTATTTAAATTATATTGTATTTGGTATGACTTGATTTTCAACTGTTCAATGTGGAGATCTAATGGGATGTTCTTATCTACAAAGCAGCTGGTTTGGATCATGGCAGAGGTGGTGCTGCACTAAGCAGAGCTTGGCTCTGCTTCCCCAGCTGGGTTTGAGTCTCCCCTGTGTACATTACCCTCTGTCTTCTTGTTGGAGTGTATGTAAGAGTCTGATTCTTGTGCATCCTCTTGATTCCAGCTGGGAGATCTGTGCTATCTCCCTTGTTTGGTAGAAGTGTTATCATTTCATCACAAGCATCAAAACTTTCATTTTTAAATTTCTCAGTCTTCTGTTGAGTTCCTTCCTTTTCTGATATATTTGAAGTCTCTGATGTATTAGCATTCCCATCCCTGTCATCTGAATTTTCAGGTGCTCCTACAGAAGAAAAAAGTTAATTACAGTTGCTGAGTTGATCTACCATGACTCATTCTAAATATCCAAACTTTACCACATGGTCTTAACAGTTTGGCCAAAAACTTGGATGAAAAGCTCCAACTTTGTGTGAGCAGGTATGCATAGATCAGCAGGCCCCCCAGGACTGCAGCCATGTTGTGGCTTTTCCCATCTCAACTCCCCAGAAAAAAAACAACACCTGTTTGTTTGTTTCTTCAGCAATGAGAAAGGTGATGGTTGCTTGAAACTGTTCTGATTAATCCCAGATGCACAAAAAATAATTCAAGTATTTAGAAATGAGGATCCATAAGCATATTCCAGAAATGGCATCAGCCTGCTTCTGGACTTTTAGGAACTACTCCTTGATTTTAAACATTCCAATTCAAGCAGGCACAGACATCATGCAAAACAGTAACCACAAACCTTCTAGGATGTCTGTTGTACTTCCATTCCCACATTTTGCACTTGCACCACTTTCTTCCATGTCCTTTTGTCTCCTCTTTTCCTCTGCCCTTTGCCTGATTGCTGCTAAAGCATTGATGCTGTCTTGGATTTTTTTTCTCTCTTTGTTTTCCCATTTTTCCTTTTCTGCTTTCTCAGCTGCATGCCCTCCAACAGCCCAGGCTTCTGCACAGGCTCTAATGAAAACACAGAAGTTTACTCTGAGATAACTATCCAAACCCATCTTGGTAATGAAAGATGAATTGGAAATAGTTAGCAACAGCATAATAGAGCTGCAAGAGAAAAACAAACATCTAGCAATGACAATCCTGACCCAAAAGGGATGCAGAGATATCTTATCTCTTACATGGAACTGCAACAAAAGAAACAAAGACAGCTGGTGATGACAGCACCAGGGATCTGCCAGGAGTGCTGATCCCTGCTTTTCCAGACACTTGCACAGTTTCTGTTGGCATTGGGATTTGCCCCTGGTCTGCAGACTTGGCATCAAACAGTTCTGTCCTAGAAATAACTCACTTGTGAAAAAAATACATGTTTTTTTCCTAGGGATGTTAAGGACTCCATAGTGTAACACTCTTGTATCCAAAGTCAGCCACCCTCAATAGATTACACCCCTCAGTCTTCCTTTCCTTCCATGGCAATATTGACAAAAAAGGGATGAGGGATCATTAGGACTCGAGCTTCCTTGCTGTGTGAAGAAGGTGGGTCTGTTTCTTACCTGTCCCTTGGGAAAACTGGCCTGTCATCTAGATACATGAGTTGTTTTAGTTGAACAATAAGTGTTTTCCTGTAATTAGCAATTTTCCTTGTCACTTCATTTCCCATCAAATTCAGCACACGCTGCAGAAAAAAAGGAAACCATGTTGAAAGGTGAGTAGCAAAAACCCCAAATCAGCCAAGAAGTGAATAAAATGCCCTGGGTGTTACAGGTAATCTACATAAAGATGTTTAATAACATTTTGGTTAGATACCTGTTGTCTACCCACCCAAACCAGTGAATGGGATTCACTCATGTACATGATCCCAACCCTTAGTCACATCCAGCTTACCAAGTTGGGCATGGTCTCCAGAACAGAAATAATAGTTGGATCACTTAGATTGTTGTGGGAAAGATCCAGGACAGAAATACTTGGGCACTCCTGCAAATGCTGGATGTCTTCCACTGTCTGTAACTTATTGTGAGCTATCTGCAGAGTCTGTAGGACCTTCAGACAGGCTGTCAGACAAGGACAGTACAATGAAAGGGAAGGTAAGAGTCATTGCTTCACAGAGGGGTTTCTGAATCACATAGAAAACTGCATTATCAAAATAATTGTTTATATTTAATTTGTTGTTCTGCCATATACACTTTTAGCAAGGCCAAAACATTGTTTCTTCACCCCAGGAGAAAAATAGTTGTTTGTTTTTAGGATGGTGGTTGTTTTCAATTCACATTTTGAACTGGTCAGTTCCATAAAAGCAAGAATCTGGACTTCCAATTACTCCCAATGAACACAAGTGATAATGTAGAGGAATTCTGTTGATGATGGGATAAACCCTTCCAAAGTCATAAAAGATTTGGAAATCATGTCTGCAGCTGTCCAAGCACAATGTGACTGTGAAGGAAATGGTGACAACTGGATTGTCAGCCTGTCTGCAACACAGGTAAGTACTGAGATGGTAACAAGAAGTGAGGAAAACCAACTTAATTCCCCTAGGTACCCACAAGAAAAAACTACTACATCTTCTCTGTTTCAATTGCAATACACCTAACATTGACTCTTCAACAGAAGCCTTGTGGACTTTGGGATGGGATATTGTGCAAAATTTTAACATGAATTAAAACAACCCTTGAAATTAATGCCACTAATAATAGCTTAACTTAGTCAAAGCTTAGGAAGACAGGCTGAATACACGTTGCACCAACAGTTCTTACAGAGCTTCTCAATGGTCCTAATGTAGTTGTTACTGATGTTGAGGGCATCCAGCTTCTGCAAGGCTTCCAGGTTTTCAATTTTGTTAATTAAATTGAGTTGCAAGTAGAGGCAACGCAGCTCTGTCAGAGCCTCCAAGTTCTCAATTTTGGTTAAGCAGTTGCCTTGTAGCCACAAACACTTCAAGCCAGTGTACTCCTCAAGATTCTCCAGGCGGTCAAATCCTGCAGAAAATAAAAGATGTTTGAAAAGGAAATTGCACTGGCTGAACACAAGTCTTGGGAAGAGTAACTTCACTAGACCAGTGCTGCTGAAACAGCCTGTGAGTGCACTTGTAGCTTGAGGTGCTGCCAGGAGTTGCACTGAATTAATGGTACAGCACCCAAAAAGGGCAAAAAAATGATAGGTGCTTATTCTGGTCTAGATCTCTTGAGATGTTCAAATGATACACAGGGAGAAAACAGCAAAACCAGGTCAAACACAGAAGGCAGATGTAGCATGTCCTATTTATTTAAAACAATTCCTATGCTAGCCTGAACCAGCCAACTGTATCATGCAGAAACCTGCTCAACAGCACAAGAGGATGATCCAGGCTCATTCTAGCACCTTCTTTGTTTTTTCAGTGGCATTTCAGAACCTGCAGCAAGTCTTTACTCTTTGTTTTCTTTCTGACCTTCTTTTATTTGGCACTAAAAATGTCCTCAAAAACAGCTTCTTTATACAAGAATATTAAAGAAGATACACATGTATTTTCCACTGAACACAGCTCAGACCAGTATTTTAAGACATTTCTCAGAAGTTACTGCTCTGGAAAAAAAGCCCAACAATAAGTACCCCTTGATTCCCATTGCTCCTTTGAATGACTCCACAAAGTGAAATAGATCTATAATCAGTTCACTTTTCTACCTTCATATTGGCTCATTTTGTTTCACAGTTTCAATATTCTATAAAATTATGTTGCCAATTTAAAAGCAGTATTACTTCAGTGAGGTATAAGCTACTGCTAAAATGCTACTTAGAATGATAAATCTAAACAGTCACGTCCACCTCTTACCTTTATAATGCAAGTAAAGTGTATCATTCAGGTGTGGGGTCCAGTACAATTTATGCTGTTTACAGATGTTTTGCAGAACCTTTTTTGTCATTCTAAAACAACAACAGGAAGCAGAAGCAAAACAAAAAAACTTATTTCAGTGCACATTCTGAAATCTTTGCTTTTGTACCAGATTTCAATGCAACACCATTAATAGTTTCTTCCAGTCAAGAGAAAGAGCTACAGCTTTCAAGGCTGTATTCCAAATAAAAAAGCAGTAAGTACTTTAGAGTGGCTTTCCATTTCTGCCTGTTTGAAGTGTGTTACCAGGCTGTTCTGCCAAAAAAAAGAAACATCAGAAAAATCAATAGTTATCAACCTAACATTTCAATGAAATAGCACTCCAGATGGTTTTAATACTCAACTGTGAGGGGCTAGGAAGGCACAGTAAGAAAAGGAATAATTCCTATTCAGTTGTAATTGCTTCATGTTCAGCTCTGCTCCTTTTGGGATTCATGCAAATGGGAAGCACAAAAAGGCTCCTCAGGGAAGCTGGGGCTACAGCAGGGGCAGAGGGCTCAGGAAGAAGCACTGGGCAGCAAACTGTAGTGTGAAACAGCAGGGGCCCATAAACTGTGTACCTTCAAAACAATATTTACCTTCTGTGCAGTTATTGTTCTCTGCCATCATTCTTCTTACTTAATTCTGAAGTGTGCCAGGCTGGTTAGCCTGGGATAATGGAGTTTTCTATGTAAATACATTTCAATCTACCTCCTGAGAACTCAGTGAGTCTCTCTCCCTTGGCTTGAAAGGGCTGTGAGTGTCTCCAATAGAACAGCTACATTAAAGTTGGCAAAAACATACACTTTGGAAAGTTTTACCATGTAAGTAGGTACAGGAATGGAGGGTAAATCTTCACTGATCTTTATATATCACTCCATAATAGCCCACGTGACCAGACTTTCAACAATGCTACTAAAGAGCATCTAACATTTAGTGTTATTATTTGCTTACAATATGCTTAATCAGGGATAACAGGAGAATAGTTCCATTTCATAGCTATTGATGAACAGGCATTGCAGCATATGCTGGTAGAAGCTGGACCAAAGTCAGAGGCAGAGCTTCCAAAGGAGACCTGTCTTATTGCTAACCAGCTGAAGTACTGCTGGATTTCCCCTGCTAAAACTAACTTGACAACTGCAATATTTACACTGTGATGAAGTAACAAAATGTCCAGTCTGAACTGATGCTGAGGAAGGGACAAATCTACTGAAAAAAACAGACCCCCACAAGAGTTTGCACAATTTTGTCCAGATCCATTAAGTACACTGCAAAAAGTAGAATGTAGTTTGCTACTGCAGCCAGAAAAAAAACAAGAAGCTGGAAATATCAGCCATTCCTGATTCATCAGTTACTCTTAAATTAATCTTCAAAATTATTCTCCTGAATTAAGATTGAAATGTGGAACAGCAACACTCCCACTGACTTCAGTGGTGCCAAGATTTACATAAAACCCATCCACAAACCATGTATTTACCTTACATAGCCCCTCTTTTCTTCTGTCCTTTGGTCATATGAGCTGATTACTGATTTCTGATCCCTGATGGATTTCTGTTCCTTCTGTTGATCTGCTCTAGGTGTGGCTTTCTCTTGAGTTTTGACATCTTTGTTATTAAGAAAACAAGTTACAGTTTAACAGCACAAGGGAGGTGGGGGGTGGTGGAAGTGTCACATGGACAATTCCTTTGGAGAAATACTGAAGGGCACCTGAATATGAATTTCAAGAAAAGAAGTGTTCCAACCATGGTTTTTTATTACATTTTAAATGAAAGTTAACTTTATCAGAAAGAAAAGTAGCAAAATAAGTAATAGGAGAATATTTTTTTTTACATTTACCTTTCTTTTTTTAGGTCTGGAAGTCAGATAGTACCCACTAGTCTTAAGATTAGGATGATGTATAGTGACAGTAAAGTTCTGGCACCAATGTCCTTACAGTCTTAGACAGCTACCAGATATTATATTTAAGTATCAATAATTTAACAAGACTGCTAACTTTGCATGTAAAGAGATTAATGGCACATCCTGGTCATTGCAAGCACTGTCTGATAGTCTAGCCCTTCTACTCATTTACCTTTTTGCACTCTTTGGAAGGTGTCTCCAGTGCTGTACTCATTCAAGCTGCCTTTAGACTGTCTTAGATCAATGATATCTTCAATATTCTTCTCTTCAGACTCTTGCTCTGCACCTTCTAGTTGCACTTGTAGCTCACACACTTAAAAAGAGACAGTGCAAACCAGATGATTGTAACAGCTCATTTAAATATGATTGCAATTAAAACATCCAGAGGTCAGGCCAGCTGTATGATTGCAACACAAGGAAAGGTATCTCTCCAGGTAGAAGAAAATTATAGAAACAGAAAAAAAAAAAGCACAAGCACTTGAGTAAGCCTCAGTTAGGGCAAGAGAGAGAAAGAAGCAACTCACATTGTATCCAGGTGAGTAATGACAAGCTAGATGTGAACATAGAGATCCCTAAATTCATCCTCAATAGCCAGCTGGAAGGACTCACCTGTGCTGCCAGAATAATCTTTATTTTCTGTTTGGGCAGCTTTGTTACTGGTGCCATTCCCAGACTCTCCTGACACCTCTTGCACAGTGACCTCCCCTCCAAGGCCCTTGTCCAAGTCTCCATCTTGTGACTGCATTTTAAGATGTGTGTTCTAGGCAAACATCAGCCAAACTGGTATTAGATTTACAATCCAACTTCCAGGCAAAACATGTAAAGGCTTCAGTAGAACCTGTTACAGACAAAAAGGGTAAATTACCAAGTCTGATGGAGCCAGCAACCTGGGTCTTGTCACTATGGAGATATCAAAAGACAGGGGAGAGCTTATCCTAAATCCTGCCCGCAGCAGATCTCAGGCAGGGCAGGGAGGGCTGAGGAGCCTCCCAGAGCTGGAGCAACTCACTTGTTCCTCTCGGAAGCCGGGGCTGAGGGTGCAGCGATGGCTCTCCCTGCTGCTCCGCCTGCCTCCCGCCCCGCGGCAACCCGGGGGAGCTTCAGCTCCCTCGCAAGGGCTGCGGGCACACACAACTCCCTTCTTTACCTGACCCGACACCCCAGCCGGGCTCAGAGTTCCGGCTCCCAACTCCCGGCCGGGCTCGGTGCCTGGCGGGCAGCAGGAGGTACAACGGGCGAGGCCCGGGAAGGGAGCGGCGGCCCCACCGGGCCCGTCCCGCCC